TGAGCATTCTCTTTGACGTTGACGTAGCGAACGATAACCTTTTGGTGGTTTGGCTCCTTGGACATATTGTAATGCACAGTTAACGTTTAATACCTTTATCTCTTTGATTTTTTTGGGGTTCTCTATTGTAGTCCTTTGCTTTGTCATATTATTATCTAAATACTGTTCAAAACGTCAGTGTGCGTTAATTTTTTACAAAGCATTACATTGTGACACTTCATCCCCCCCTCCCCCCCAAGTGCATTCTAAGATGTGAGCTGTAAGAATTCATCGTGAGAAAGTTGCATTAAATGAGGAAGATGTTACTGTTAGGAAAACGTTTGCCAGTCGAAGATAATTAATTGATTTCGAAAACTTTATTAAATCCAATATTTATGTCTTTACTCTTTGCAACTGGATCTGTTGGTGTATGCAAGTATTTTGTGAAATCGGTGTGTGTGTGTGTGTGTGTGTGTGTGTGTGTGTGTGTGTGTGTGTGTGTGTTTGTGTGTGTGTTTGTACACGTGTTTATGCTTGTTACCTCTTTTAAAGATTTGAGAGGGAGATAGACTGGTAGATGTAGACTGGCATCTTATGGTAACAATTTAGGGTTATTTCTTTTAGAAAAATTATTACCCTGTTAATTTAATTAAAACCAGCTGCGCAAGTATTCATCTTTCAATAGCTTTCCATAATATACAGCTTCGTTGATCAAACAAGTACATAACAAATCAAACAAAATAATGTCTGCCCCTCACCCTGTACTTATTATGTAACCGTTACTATCTTTTTTGTTGTAACTACAAGTAGTCTGCCGCGCGCGTTGTTGGTGCAGATAAAGTTCGCTTGACAAAACACAGCCCAGTGGCAGTAACCTCTGTGACATGAGGCTAGTCATTCGCTCCACCTACTCTGAGCGCCGGGGCTGGTGGTGGTGCACCCAGTAATCTGATTTGTGGCACTAGCGGGGGACTGCAGTTGCCCCACACCCGGGGGACTGACGGCTCCGTTGTTCAGAGCACCGCTTTGACAAATGGTGCATGAATTGAATAATGATTAAAGCCAGTTCCCCTTACTGCATCGTCCTTTAGTTTGCCCCCCCCCCCCAATTTTCCATAGTAGTGAAGTATCTGTAGTTTCGAAAAAAAAAGACTTGCGTTTGGTCCCTTTCACTAAAAATATGAACATCTTCGTCAAAACTTGGTGCTGCTTCAGTTCATCTTTTTAGGTAGGGGTTATTTTCTGGGAACGAGGACGAAGCGTGGTGAGTACGACAGACGGGGTCTCATGATGCTCCCTCCTCAAAAGGTCCTTCGTTACTGCCACGAAATAAGGTTACGAGAATGCTAGTCGCTCACACAGCGGACTATAATTCGTTTTTTCTTTCCACAGATAATATCGTTTACGCTTCGGGGTTGCACTTTCGATTATTCTTTCACAAAGAGAAAGGAGAAAGTAAATGTTCTGCGGACTGCACTCTCACATAATGAGCTCTGGCTAGTCATTTTGGTTCGGGCAAAGCCCCGGCTGTCAGTTTTGAACTTTTCAGTCGTTCGTCTACTGCAGACCCGAGGTGGTTGTACAGAATATTGATAACCATAGATGTTTATGGGCCAAAAAGAGATGGATTATGTAATGCAGATATATTCTTTTGTGGGTGGAGCACTTTGTCAATCGTCAGGACACCAAGGTCATTAGGAAAAAATACTGTAGGAAGCACGAGAACAGTTTGGACGTTGTTCGGGGTTGAAGGTTGTACCTCTGTGCAATATCCAAGTTTGTGAACTAACCGCATCACGACAACCTACAATTTATATGTGAGTGCGTTAAAATGCAAGCATGTTGGTTTGTTTGCGTGTGTATATGGCAGGGACGCACTCTCTCTCTCTCTCTCTCTCTCTCTCTCTCTCTCTCTCTCTCTCTCTCTCTCTCTCTCTCACACACACACACACACACACACACACACACACACACAGAGAGAGAGAGAGAGAGAGAGAGAGAGAGAGAGAGAGAGAGAGAGAGAGAGAGAGAAAGAGAGAGAAATACGAGAACGAGAGACAGACAGGAGAAGAGACTGACAGACAGGCAGACAAACAGATCGAGAATGGAGGAGACAGAGGGATGAAACAGAAACTAATAAAAAGTATGTTACTATACCGCACGCAAAAGTACTTAATAACATAGCAGCTCTGTCAGTAGCTGGCTGTAACTATTTTACGTCGCCATCAACCCAATTTATGCCATTATGGAGTTGAGCTGCTTCGACTTTGGCGGCGAGGGCCAACCCGGGCTTTATGAGATAATACACCCCAGCAGAAGGACATAAATACATTTTGCTTCAGAAAATACCACCTCCTTGTGGAGCTTTGTCTTTTAGTTAACAACCGACTATGCTTGCAAAATGTCTTTCTGCTTGTTCTCTTCGCTTTGGGATTTAACATTTTGTTTCAGTAGATCTGTCTTTCGACAAGTCGGGCTATCTGTATATCTCTTTGTCTGTTTGTCCCTCAGTTTATCTGTCTTTCTTTCTCTCTTTCTGTCTAGGATTTGAATTCTAGTCTCTTCTTTCCCAAGTAGTTATTGGCACAGTAACGATTGTTTTATTTCTTTACGTAAGGGAATAAACACCGATTTTCTCAATTTCCCACACTATGCCAATGATTAAATGGATACCGCAGACAGAATAATCTCCTGGGAGACATTTACGACACTTTTACCTTTGATTTATGCGAGTCAACAATTTACCATAGATCTTCCATGCCATAGAGCTATGACTCGGTAAACTACCTCATATTTCCGATTCCCTTTCCGATGACTATCGCCATAAGTAAAGACGTCTGTGTGAATGTGGTGGACGACAAAAGTATCCACATAAGTCTGGGCAGAATCTGGATTTATTAGCCAACAATCCGAGTTTCAAAGGTTGTAACGAGAAAGCCTTGTTTCAAAAGCTTTCGTATTCTGCTATCTTCAAAGCTGTCTAATGCTGCTCGGTTCAATAATGACGAATAAATCCTTCACGCAAATTGTCTTAAATGGAATCGTAACACTTTGCTCTGAACACCATCAGTGCCTACTTTCGAGATACCGAGAGAGACACAATGTTAGAGTATCAAATTTATGGCCTCATTTGATAGTTTCCAAGATCAAAAACTCGTATCCCATCATTATCGGAAGCTGTCTTTCTCCCCGGTAATGGCTTCCTCTGCCCGTTACGAAAGGGCAACAGAAAACTTTCTCGGTCTTATAGTTAAAACAAGGTTACTTCCAGCCATAAAATCTGCGCCTCTTTTCTTTCAATTTGAGGTTTTGTAATGGGCCATTAGAGCACGAGTCTACGACAGCTTGAATTCCGTAATCCATGTACGCCTTCGTTAATCCAGCGACGACCTCTTTGTCGGAGTTACGTTATCCACTTAAAATTCCGCTTCTTGTCCCTGATACACTTCCAGCTGTTTCAGGACAACAAGGGGTGGGGGGGGGGGGGGGGGG